ACACACACACACACACACACACACACACACACACACACACACACACACACACACACACACACACACACACACACACACACACACACACACACACACACACACACACACACACACACACACACACACACACACACACACACACACACACACACACACACACACACACACACACACACACACACACACACACACACACACACACACACACACACACACACACACACACACACACACACACACACACACACACACACACACACACACACACACACACACACACACACACACACACACACTGAGGTGATTTCGGGTGTCTTAATTTGGCCATAACCTTCTCTCTGTTTTATCTAGCAGAGGTGACAAATCTTTTTTCGACAAATATTTTAAGAAAATCCTTTTTAAAAAAAAAACTCAACAATACACTTTGTGCAAAATTGATTTGCCTTTTGTTATTTTGGGATGAAACCATCCACTAAATTAAACTGCTGTAAAATGCATCTGATAAATATTTTTTCATTTTTTTTTTTTGCATAAATCTGTTAATCAACCTCAGTCCTGATCAAAATGACACGATTTTAACTCTTTAATTGGCAAATTCAAAAATGATGTCACTGATTTGGTGAAAAACACACACACAATGACGTATTTTCAGTATAATAAGTAATTGTGGACTGGATTTTTTTACCTGTTATCACATTCTCGGACATGTGGAAGCAACATTGCCTTTAATGCATTGTTTTTGATTGATTTGTATTATTTTTTTTTCTCCTAGTGGCTGTTTTGCCCCGTTGACTTCCATTATAACCACATTTTCTTGATTACAAAACCATGGCATCATATAATCATGCATTTTAAAATTTTGGTGGTTTTCCCTGTTGGGAAGAGGTCACATGTGTCATTTTTACAGTTGATTATCAGTTGGCAGCATTAACCCTTTAGATAGGCCAAAAAAGCTTAGTTTCTGGATTTTATATGGAGTGTAACAGCATATTAAAGTGTGTGTGTGTGTGTGTGTGTGTGTGTGTGTGTGTGTGTGTGTGTGTGTGTGTGTGTGCCTCTGTGAGTGTTTGAGAGTGTGAGAGTGATCTTTACGCAGTTACCTTGA